GTCCAGGGGAACACTGTGTGCCAGAAACCCCTGCAGCAGCATCCCCTCTTTCCCTGCAGGATCAGGCCTTCGGGTCTTGTTTTGCTGGAAGTTCTCGTGATTGCTGCGTGTTTAGTTATAGTGACATGTAAACATCATCATGTGTTTTCATCAGGCCTCGTGCTGTGCTGGGGTGAGCTCTCTGTGTCACCTCCCCTCTGTGCATCACCTGCCCTCCCACCTGCAGCTGGGACTTAAAACCATTTTGCATTAAGTATGCCACGACCAAATTCCTTATAATGCCTTAAAATCGCTTGTGTGTGTCTCTTAGCCAGGTTTGGACCATAGTCTTCCTGAAATTTGACAATTTTATTTTATTGTACTATGGATTTTGTTGTACTATGACAATTTTATTTTATTGTACTATGGAGGCTGCGAGCCAAAGGTTTCCCTCCATTCACTGCTGCACAGACACAGGAAGGAATATCATCCCTGCAGGTGGTTCCTGGTGCTTCCCAGCCCCTCCTTAACACCCTGGCAGTCAGGTTCAGAGTGGCACATCCAGACAGTGAATGCTGGAAAGAAAAGAGGGGAAATCCAAATCCAAATCCAGCTGCCAGCATGCAGATGCTTTTGTATCACAGGGCCTCTTGTCTGGTTTGGCTTCAGAAGGGAGCAGGGACCCCACAGGGATGGGTATGGTCGTGATGCTCTCAGGAGCAGCAGCTTCAGGGCAGACAATGTCCCATGTGCTGGTGGCACTGTCCCATCACCTCCAGGTGGTTCCTGCATGGGGACACACCAGCCACCCTCCAGCTGCCAGCTGCGGCTTATCATGGTTCTCCCTCCTCCACCTCTATGTCCTGCCCAGGAGGATTTAGTGAAAGGTTCTTAATTTGCAAAAGGCAAAGGAAAGCAAAGGAAAATGCCAGAGCGAAGGGAGGAGATGCAAGTTTCTCCTTGCAGTGCCCCCGGTTCCCCCAGCCACTCCTCCCCTCCTGCCAGAGCAGCCTCCCAGCCCTCCTGCCTGCTCTCCTCCACACCGGCGCTCGATATTCACGGCTGAGAGTTTATCAGAGAGACAGCGCGGCTCAGCCGGCTGGAAAACAAACCCACGATCCCTTTACACCTCCCCTGCTCCTCTGGGCTCACTTGGGGACCCTCCGTGGGGAGGGGGGATGCAGGCCGAGCAGGCAGCGCGGGGTTCGGGGATGCTGGGACGGTCCCCGGTGCAGGCGGTGTGTGATGAGCGATGTGCGTGCAGCCGTGTGCGTGCCCAGGGAAATTGCCGCTTGTTTGTCACCTCTTCCCCCGTGCCTCGGAGGGTTAGTTGGATAATAGCTGTGGGAAGCCCGCGGGAAGCTCTCGGGAAGATGGTTGTTATTCCCCCCAGCCCCTCCGCTTCTCATCATCGCTCGTTAGTGAATGCAGAGCAAATCGCCGCCTCCTCCTCCTCCTCCTCCTCCTCGTCCCCACGGCACTCTCGGGCGCGCTCAGCCGAGTGTGAAGGAGCCGCAGCCGGCGTGGGCTGGGGCTGCTCCCGCAGGCTGGGATGTGTCTGCTGGAGCCGGGGCGTCCCCCAAAGGTGAGGGTTTGGTTCAGAAACTGAATCCTGGGCATTGCCTATTGGATTTTCCATCATTTGGAGACGGACTCCTTGCTTATTAACGCACAGCCTCCCAGCTTCGCCTTCGTCCCTCTTGTTCGGATGTTCCCAACGAGCTCTGCTTAAGGAAAGCTCCTTTCCAAACTCAAAGGCTCCCCAGGGCACAGGCAGCAGCCCCAGCAGGCTGGCCATGCTCCGTGGCAATGCCCGGCACGGGGCAGGGAGCACATCCAGCCCAGCTGCCCTCCACTGCCTCCTCTGCAGCATCCCTCAGGAATGTGTCATTAGTTTCAGTGACTGCGGGATGTCTGGAGTCCCTCTTACACTAATTATCCTGCTCCTCTATTAGACATGCTTAATTAGCCAGCGTTCACAGGCAGAGGTCGGTGTTGGCACACCGTGGGCCACACGCTGCCGACCTTTCCCGTGCCCGTGTGTCTGCATCAGCTGCTGTTCCTGCCCTGTCCCTGCCGTGCCTGGGCCATGGGTGAGCCCTGGCAGTCCAATTCCCTTCTGTTGTGGGAAGCAGGGATGCCTTTTCCACCCCAATTTGCTGTGATCCAGCCCAGGACAGTCCCAGCAGCTTGGGCACAAGTGAATACTTTAGAGCAGCAATGTTTGCTGGTGCTGCTCAAGGATGGAGTCTCAGCATCACCAGCAGTGGAGAGCTCACCCAACTCTCCTGGATGCTAAAAGCAGGGAAAGGGAGATTTCTGCATCCTCCAGCCCCATTTCCCAGCCAGTCTGGAAGATTCCCTAGGAGAAGCAGGCTTGCTGGCTTCCTCCCTGTGCAGCCACAGCTCCAGATGTGTGATTTGCTCTATATGAGATAAGTCCAGGCTGCAACAACCTTGTGAGGCCAGAGTAGCTGTGATGGGGGAGAGAAAATGGAGCTGCCAAGTGGCTCAGAGTGAGACTGGGTGGCTCAGAGTGAGACTGGCCAGTGCAGCAGGCAGCTGGAGGGAGGGAAGGTGTGGTGGAGGGATGCTGCCAGCGAAGCCTCCTCTCCCTGTGGGCACAGCTTGGTACTGTGGATGGCACAGCTCAGCAGGTGGTGGAGGTGGCCAGGGCACACTGGGGTGCTGGGGACTGTGACCCTGCTTTATCCTGGGTGTCTCTGAGCATAGCAGCACTCCAGGAGCAGCTGTAGGATTCAGAGGTGGCCTTGGACACCTGCAAGGCTGCAGCACCTTGTTGTGACCAGTCAGCTCAGGGTTGAAGGCGGTTGAGAGGGAGAGAAAGGGAGAATCCTTCCTACTCCCCTTCCTACTCCAGGCCACCAGCTGGCTGCTGGTTGCTTTCCCGGGGACTTCTGGTGGGGATGAGTTTGCACCAGCACCAACATCTGGTGGGGATGGCTTTGCACCAGTTCCTACTCTCCTCCAGGATCTCACTGGCTTTGTCCCCACCGAGAGCTTCCAGCAAATGCCCATCTCTGCCTGGGGAGATGGGGACCCTGAGGACCCCAGGACATCTCCTGAGCCTGTGCAATGTTCTGCTGGGCTGGGAGATGCGCAGGGGAGGGGAGTTGGGTCCTGCAGCAGGAGAGCTGGGAAGTTTAAAGTGTTGAGTCTATATATGGCAGGAGAACAAACTTGACCTCCCATCCCCACTCTCTGTGCCTCCCTTACTCGTTCCTCTGATTTCAGGGTGAGCCCAGAGACTCCAGAGGGTGTGGAGCCAAAGCCCTCCAGTGTCACCACAATCCTATGCAGCCAACCAACATCTCCCCCATCCCCATGGACTGATTTCTGTTTTCCTCCTCCCAGGGCTGAATCCCACTAACCTTGTCCCCTCCCACTCCCCTCAGGTCCGTGGCTGTGACCACTATGGCATCTACCACACCAGCCCCACGTTGGGCAGCCTGGTCAAGCCAGTGGTGCTGTGGACCCAGCAGGATGTGTGCAAATGGCTGAAGAAGCATTGCCCACACAATTATCTCATCTACGTCGAGGCGTTCTCCCACCACGCCATCACAGGTACAGAGTGTCCCCTGGACCATGCAGAGCACGTGCTCCTGGGAAAAGCTCTTTGGACATTGGGGGTTCAGAAGATGGACATACCCCCCATTTCTGTCCCCTCTCCCCATGAGATGCAGCCAGGGTGAGAGCAGGGGACACGGTGACACTGACCCAGGCTGGGCAGGAGATACCTGCCACCAGGGTGAGCACCAGGACAGGTTGGAGGTTCTTTAAAATTATTAAATTGGTTTATCAGACAGGGAAGAGTCTTCTCATCACCTAGCTTAATATAATAATAGTATTATTAAATTTTTTAAATACTGAAAATTTTTGCAAAGAGAAAGATCTCTGTCCAGTTGGAGTCCAAATTTCAAAGGTCTTTGTCAGATCCAAATCCAACTCCCAATCGAGCCCTTCAAGCAGACTCACCTCTAGGATCTGCTCCCTCCCCTTTGCTCCCTGGTGACAGTGGCTTTGACCTCTAAGAGCATCATTCCAGTCCAACTTCAATATGTGCAAGGCCAGAGTGAGCTCTGCCAGGGCCAGGGGATGGTGGCAGGGAAGTGAGGGCAGGAGCTGCCTGGGGGGGATGAGAAATCCTAATGCAAAAGCTCAGCCAGCCCTTGCTCAGGCAACAAAGGCAGCATTAGTGAGTGTATGCTGTACAGCAAGGACAAAAGCTGGTTTAAAATCCCTCCTGTAAGAGCCCCAGACTGGAGGGAAGTGGCTTGGTGGGGACTGGAGCACTAATGCGTTGTGATGGGCACCCCCATTCATTGCCCCAGGACCAGCAGCCTGTGTGGGAACCTTGTGCTCAGAAAACATCTCCTCATCTGGGAGGTGGAGCAGAGAATAAAAAGCTGCTGCCTGCTGGGATGGGTTACAGGATTGTGCTGCTGATACCTGGCAGAGGCTGGGGACACGAGCTGCCACCCGGTGCTCTCTGAAAGGGAGGTCACAAACCAGAATGGAAGGGACCTGAAAGCTCATCTCATTCCACACCCTTGCCATGGGCAGGAACAGCTTCTGCCAGACCAGGTTTCTCTAAGCCTTGTCCAGCCTGGTCTTGGACACCTCCAGGGATGGAGCAACCACAGCTTCTCGTGGTAACCTGTGCCAAGGCCTCACCATCCTCACTGGGATGAATTTCTTCCCAACATCCAGTTTAGCCCTATCCCCTGCCAGCTCTTCCCCCTCCATCCTGTCCCTCCACGCACTACTGCCGGCAGTGAGAGAGCACTCCCTCCTCAATCCTCCATGCTGATGGGTTCCCCTTTGTGCTTCCCTTTCCTGGGGTCATCCCCCCCTCTTTGTGCTGGTGGGGCACTGAGCCACTTGGTGTTTGCAGGCCGGGCGCTGCTGCGGCTGAACGGGGAGAAGCTGCAGCGCATGGGGATCGCGCTGGAGGCGCAGCGCCAGGAGCTCCTGCAGCAGGTCCTGCAGCTCCAGGTGCGCGAGGAGGTGCGGAACCTGCAGCTGCTCAGCCAAGGTAGGGCCTATAGGGTAGCCCAGAGCTGGCTGTGGCACAGGGATGGGTTGTGGGGCCATTCAGGGAGCACAGGGGGAGTTGGGATGCACAGGGCCAGGCTGCCACACACAGCCCAAAATCCATCAGTGGCCCTGTGCACAGAAGGGAAGAGATTCTCTGGGGATGGTGGTGGGTGAGCTGCGACGTGCCGCCCTGCAGGCTGTTTATTCCTTCCTCTCCCACCTTGTTCCAGCTTCTTTTGGAAATGTCTCCTAGCTGATCCGTCTGTTTGGCAGATTGCACCAACACTGTGAACCGAGCTCCGCTGGGATGGGCTGTGCATCGCCGATACGAGACCTGAGCCACACGCTTGGAATAAGAAGAGACAGCTTCCCAGACACTCCAGGGCTCCTCTCCTGCTTCTTCCTTCTCTTTCTTTTAAAGGAACGCATTCCTGTGCAGGGGTGGAAGGTTTCTTCCAGCAGACATGGCTCTTGGCTGGAGGAAAATCAGCAAACCAGCTGCTGGGACAGATGATGAACTTCCATCCACCTGAGCCTGACAGTTCACAGGGAAAGAGATGGAAAAAAGGAGATGGCAAAAGGCAGGGCTCAGCACTGTGGAGAAAGGGAATGCAGTGATTCCAGGGACAGCTCGGAGCCTTGTGCAGGACACTGAAGCATTATGCACTTGGGCAACATCCCAGCACCCAGCAACTCGTGTCCATGCCTTGGAGCTTATTTAGGGAGCTTTGGTTTCCTCATCAGACTGGGCTGCCTTCCAGCGGCCGGGGAGGTGACGTTATCGGTAGCAAATAAGATGATACAACCAGCCAAAAAATTCACAGCGGGGCCAAGACCCCAGCACCCAGCTCCACTTGGTGAGTTAAAAAGGGAGCTGAGTCATCAGAGCTGGAAAATCTGCAAGTGAAAGCAGGCTGGATGCACCAGGAGGCTGCCACGGCTGGGAGGAAGTTGTGCCAAGAGCTCATCCTTCATCAGCAGGCAGAGGGGGAGCCCATGCAGGGGCTGGGGGCAGCAGGCTGGGGTGCTGCTGGGTGGTTGTGGGGCTGGGGGAACACTGGGTGACCCAGCTCCCATGCCTGGTCCTGCTCTGCTCCCTGCTCCCACCAGCTCTGCAGAGCTCTGTTCATCCAGGCATTGGCAGGTTCCTGTCCTGACCTCCTGCCAAGGGTTGGCAATGGTGCCACCAAAGCCAGGCACCTTCCTGATGACCTTCACCATCATTACAGTGAGAGTGTTTGCTGTTAGGTCTCCATCTCCCAAACTCTCCCATACAGAGCTACAGACTGCCCTTGTGGGCAGATAAGGAAAATCCGTGTGTAAATCAGGATTTTTGGCCAGGGTGGATGTCACCTCCCCACATTCCACCTCAAGTGATGAGGGTAGGGCTGTGGGTCATGGGGGTCCGAAAACAGCAGCACCCCAATCCCCCTGGGGCACTGGGATGTGGAGGCAGGTCACGGTGCCCCCTGGCTGGGCATCCTCCTGCCTGCTTCTCTGCTGGTAATAAATTAGAGACTGTTATTTTATCTCACTGCTCTTCTGGCTCTTCCCACACCTGAACCTGCTCTGTGAGTTTGGTCCCTCCAGTCCTTCCTGGGGATTCCCAGGAGATGTCTACAGCCCTAAATCCCTCCATGCAAGGCTGAACAGCTTCCCTCTCTGTCTGTGGGTCAGGGGTCTGTGACCCTCAGCTCTGTCTGCAGGGAAGCAGCTCCAGGGCTTTGCTGTGTGTACCCCAGAACACAGAAATTAGAATTTCCTCCCCATTCCATACTGACCTTTTCTAATATGCAGCAAAATTTGCTCTTCTCACCTCACCGGAGACTCACAAGCAACAGAGCTGGGAGAATTTGCTGAGTTTAAAGACAAGGAAAAAGAAGCGCGAAAAAAAGCCCATCTTGCCCTGGTGGGGTTTGTTTGTGTCCTGGGGGGCAGTGGGAGCTGTGGGGAGGCACGGGGAGCTGTGGGGTGACGAGGGGCCAGAAGCCCAAAGAGCAGAACACTGCAGGTGTGTGCACATCGTTAGAGGGAGACGCTGAGCTTCTCTCCAGAGCCTGGGAGCTGCACGGGGGAAATGCCTTCTCCGGGCTCCAGATGCCTTCTCCGGGCTCCAGCCGGGCTCATGCAGTGAGCTGGTGGAGATCTGGCCTGGAACACAGCTGGGGTGCAGAGAACAGTGCTGGGGCTGCCCTGGACCCTCTGGAAAAGGCAGGGTTCCCCCCCGATCCTGCCCCAAAGCCTGGCTGCCCCTTGTTGTGCTCCTGAGGATGCTCTGGCTCTCTCCAGCTCCTCAGCATGGAAGAAAGCAGAAACCCGACCAATTGCACTCGGTCAGAGACCCATCCATACGGTTCAGGCATCTTTCTGAGACCTACCAGCACAGAATGAAGGGGAGGAGCAGTGTGAAATGTTCCCAGGGCTGGCAGGACGATGCTCTCCTGCCCCCAGTCCCCTGCTCTGTGTCTTTGTTCTGATGAGGGTGGTAATAGTGAGAGCAGAGCATCTTGGCAGGCTGGCTCTGAAGTACTGCTCTGGCAGTGTCTGGTGCCACCTAATGCCCATGGCTTGTCCAAGGGACACCCAGGACTCTGCCCAAGGCAGCAGGAATGCATCCAGGACAGCCCTGACGTGGTTTTTACTTCTGTAGCTCCAGGCATAGAGAAAAATGCATCTGCATGGTGGATCCAAGGAAGGACAGTCCTTCTCATGGGTGAGAATTTGGGGTGGTGAGTATTGCACCAGGACCCTGGGAACTGGAGGCAGAAGCTGCTCAGGATTCTCTCAGATTGAGGCACAGCTTGGTCACTCCTCATCTTTGGCCGAGCAAGAAAAATACCTTCTATTTGTCCAGCACTTATCTGCCAGTGATATTCCAGGCACTGCCCCAAAACAAACAGGGCCGACAATGAAACACAGATGAATCAATTCATGCAATATTAAAACCAGACAACAATTAAAGTAAACAGAAAACACCAGCAAGCATCAGTCAGTCCCCTGCAGCAGGCAGGAGGATACAGGCAGCACCACTGGGGCACAGGGGCAGGCAATGACCACACAACTCCTGGCTCTGATAGATTTTTTTGCCATTTTATTTGGTGGAAAATCTTTTGAATAAGAGAGCCAATGTGTCACCAGCATCAGGAGTTATGTTCAGCACCTTCTTAAAAAAGGAATAATCCAGCAACTCCCTCCCAGTGGCAGCGGCAGTTTGCAGATTCCAGCAAGGTTTTCAAGCAGAAAATAAAAAAGCCAGCAGAAATGCCCATAGAAAATGCATGCAAATTTGTCTGAGTAATTACTGAGCTTGATGATGTAAACACCTCCATCTCTGAAGCGCTGCTGATTGTGACTCTGATTCAGGGAATGCTCCCCTTCCTTCCAACCCTGAAATTCACAGTGGGTGCTGAAATTCACAGTGTGTGCTGGAATTCCCAGCCTGTGCTGTCCCTGGCTGAGCAGGGGGGGAGGACACAGTGTGCTGGGCACAGAGGTGACAGTGCCTGCCCCGGCTCTGCTGAGGTGCAGCTGGTTTAAATTGGAATGCCTGTCCCCAGTGGTTTGCAGGCTCCATCTAATTAGGACCTGTCATCCCACCAGGGCACAGGGAGGATTACAAACCACCCCAAGGCACTGGGGAAGTTTGACAGGAGCAACAAGTGCTGGCAGCCCAGTGAGCCAACCCTGCCCTGGGCTGCATCCCCAGCACCATGGCAGCAGGGAGGGAGGTTTGTCCTTCCCTTCTCTGCTCAGGAGGGACCCCACATGCAGCACTGCCTCGAGTTCTGGGGATTCCAACATCAGAAGGTTGTGGAGCTGCTGGAGTGAGTCCAGAGTATGAGCCCAAATAATGCTCTGCCCTTTGAGCACCACTGCAATGAAGACAGGCTGAGAAATCTGAGGTTGATAAACCTGGAAAAGAGAAAGTTCTGGTGAGATCTTAGAGTCACTTTCAGTGCCTAAAGGAGCTGAGGGACTTCGAACAAGAGCATGAAGGGATAGGACAAGGGGAATGGCTTTAAACCAGCAGAAGACAGGGTTAGGTTGGATGTTAGGAAGAAATTCTTCCCTGTGAGAGTGGTGAGGCACTGGCACAGGCTGCCCAGAGTAGCTGTGGCTGCCCCATCCCTGGAAGGGTGCAGCAGCCTGGAAGGGCTGCCTGGGTGCTGCCACGAGTCAGAGCATCCCAGGGAAGAGTGAGGTGCCAGCGTGTGGCAGGGGCACAGTGAAACAGCCACTCCTGGGCTGCTCCAACAGCCACATCCCAGCTCTGGCACAGCTCCCTCTGCCTTATCCCACAGCCCTGCTCCCCATCCCACTGCCTGGTGCTGGAGGACACGACACGGCTGGGAGCACACACACAGAGTCCTGCAGCAATGGCAGCAGAAGTCTTCTGCTCCAGTATGTTCTTGCTGCACATCCAGGACTAATCAATCTTGATTTATTGCTAATGAACTTGAAAACAGTGTTGGGATGGATCAGGTGCCACTCAGGGTGAGATGGATAATATAATTAAGATTTCCTCAAAGGTCCCGTTTTTCTTACCTTGTTAATTAAGCTGATGTGGGGCCCTCCATGCAGAATACGTAATGAGAGGCTGCCAAGACAGAGCTGGCTGTTAATGGGAGGTGATGCAGGAGGAAATGCTGGCTTGGCAGGGCTGGAGACATTTGGGCAGCTCTTTGGTGGCTTGGTCCCCCAGAGCAGCCAGGAGCTGACCTCTGCTGAGAACTCAGCACATGCTTTGCAGAAATCCATCTGGAGCCCACAGGGCCAAGTGTGCAGTCACAGGTGAAGGTGGATGGGCTCATCCTGTTTGGGACAGGCTGAGCACCATGGCAGAGCACACCAAAGCACAGCCCAGGGAGTGGGACAGGGCATTCCCTGCAGGAATCCATGAGCAGCCCCAAGCAGCAGCTCTCTCTCAGGGCTGCAGCCTGTGGTGCAGGGAGGAGGGGAAGCTGCTCACTCCCCATGGCCCAGGCACGTTTTTGGTACTTGCACTGGTGGTGACTTATGACAATGAATTAATGGCCTCTTAATAAGGGTGACACTTTCCTTAATTAGAAAGTATCAGAGCAGGGATAATTGCTTCATTTCATTTTGTTCCCCTGTATTACTTCCTTCATTTTTGGTCCTCATTCTCGGCTGCTGGATGCCCTCTGAATGCTCTGCTTCCCCAGAGCCAGGAACACTCCCAGGGACTGTGGGCATGGCACAGAGGCAGGAAGGATAGAGAGAAGTGGGTGTGGGTATGGCTGTGGAGATTTCACTGGGACAAGGATGGAGAGGGGTGTGTGCAGATGCAGCTACAGTGCTGCTGCTTCTACCAGGGGGGTCCCAGGTTTGCAGCAGTGCCAGGTGCAGGGTTGGTGGCAGATGGGACCATCTGGCAAAGCTGGAGTAAGGGAGAGGCAGCATCCACAGGCTGGAAGCCACCAGAGGGAAGGCAGCAAGTGGTGGGATTTGGGCAGTGTAGGGAAGGCAGCAGGACTGAGATAAAGAATTGATCCAAAACAATTGTCATTTGGGTTGACCAGGGCTGTTCCCCCACCAGGGCTCTTCCCTGGATGCAGTAGGTTTGCTGCAAAGCCAAGCCGAACATCCACAGCATTTCACTTGGGCCTTTTTTGGAAAGGCAAGTTTGGGGTTTGGTTTTGGCACAACATTCCCAAGCAGCACATTTGCACAGGCTGTTACTGGGGCCTCCAGGAAAATCCTTCACACCCCCACAGAAAATTAGCCTCTTCACTTCCCATCAGAGGAGGCACTTTCTAAAACTGGGAAGGATTTGATGAAGCCACATGACTTCATCACCAGCTGCATCCCCACAGCTCCCACTGCCTCTATGGGGCTGATGGATCCTTATGGGACATGCCCCCTATGTCACCACAACCCTGTAAATCATAAAAAGCAGTCTCAGGGCCGCTGGGAGCTTTACAGCTCCAGCTCCTCCTTGAGGCAGGAGCTTTTCCCCCTTAGCCTTCCCTCTCTGCACTGCAACCATTTTGCTTTGTCGCCATATCTAAAATTGAATCTGTTTGGATTTTCTCTCACTCTTCTTTTTTTATTTTTTCCCCTTTTGCTTATATTTGCTGAATGCATTCAAGCACAGGGAGGGGGAGAAAAATAATAAAAAATCCATCAGCATAATTCCTGGCTGTGGGAGTGATGGCAGGCTCGGGTTTCCAATCAGCGGCCCAGGCTGGGAGGAGGCTGGGGCTGCCCCGGATGCTGCAGCACAAACCAGCTGCAAATCCCTCTTTGTTCGGGAATCACTCTCTTTCAGCCTCTGCACAGCCTGTCCAGTGCATGTGTGAGCATGTGGCTGCTCCAAGGGGCTTTGTCCCCCTGCCACTCCAAGGATAAAGGGGGATGCAGCAGCCAGCTGGGATCCTTTATCCCAGGATAAAGCCCTGGGAGACAGGGAATGCAGAGTCTCCCATCCTGGGTCTGGGCATCAGTCATGGCCTTTCCCTCACATGTCTCTGTGCCTGGTGCACAAGGCTCAGCAGACGTGGGCTCCCAG